CGAGCCCCCCGCGACGTGCCCGCGACCCGCCCGTGGCCCGCCCGACCCACACTGCTTTGACGAAAATTCGGCGCCTGGGGCGGGCTTGGTGCGCCGTGTGTCGAGACTCGCCACCTGCAGCGGGCTCCTTCAGAGCCTCGCAGACTGCCAACGACCCCGCCGCCCCCTCGCTCTCGTCCGCAGCTGCGGGGGCGATGGCATCACCCTCGATGGCATCATCCTTACCTCCCCGCCCCTTTCTCTCTCCCTCTCCCTCTCTTTCCCTTCCTTTCTCCCCCTCTCCCTGCCCGCCTCCTCTCCCCCCTCCCCGCGTCCCCCGTTCCCCATGCATCACTGCTCGCACCCCCTATCGCTCCCTCCATACTCTTTTTTCTCTTACCCTCCCATCCCCCACCCCCCTACCGTTAAATAAGAGAAGCCTCCGTACAAATCAAGCAGACATACGCAACAAATAAACCTGTCGTTTCCACATGCGCCTGGGAGCCATGTGTTTCTTCTGAGCGCTCCAGGTCAATGACTATTCACTCTGACAGTCAAGTAGTGTGATTTCCATGCTCCGTATTCTCGTTCAGGGTCAATGCTTCGAAGCAGAGTTCGATATGTCGTTGATGAGCACTACACTCAATCACATGCATATGTATGTGGTATACAGTCTTCCTTCAGCCAGGCCTACTTGACTTCTTGAGTAGCGTGAGTTGGCAAGTGCTGGTATGTTGTTCAACATATTAGCATGTACCAACTCACCAAGCAACAGTTGTTGGTGAGTATTACTTGTTCTGTGCTGCACCAGGGTTCGAACGTCGTCTTGTTCAGGAGGCGTGTGGTGTTGGAAAAGGGGCGATCTGTTTGAACGCCTCGAGCACGCGATCCCGACGAGGACGACCACTCATGTGCCAACGGCGATTCGATGGAGAAGACGACTACGAAGAGGACGGTTGCGATCACGACGCCGGCGACGACGACAAAGACGACGATGAGGATGAAGAGAAATAATACAACGAAGGATCACTGCCATTACGATGAAGACGTCGACGAAAATGACGACCGCGGCGACCATAACAGCAACGATGGCGATCACGACGAGGGCAACGACGGTGACTACGACGACGATCACTATGACTACGAGGCCGGCGAAGACTACGACAAGGACGGCTGAGCATACGACGATGGACTACGACGACAAGGGTGACGACGCCACCGACGAAGACTCGCGACGAGGACCACGATCATGATTGGGAGAACAACGGTGACTACGACAAAGACTATTCTTGGCGCCTCGCGCATCCCAACCAGCCCATAGAGAAACCGTTTCCTGGCGAGTTGCCTTGATTAGGGTGCCGTGCGGACATGCAGTGGAAAAACAATGGGGCAGCCGTCAAGAAGAAACTCGGGATACGCCTGAACAGACACAGGAGTCATCCATCCAGAAAGGCCGCTGCGGATATTTCATTGTTTCCTCATAACGCCGACCCCCGGAGGTCTCGACCCATTCCCCAGGACCGGCTTCTCATCCCGAGTCGTGTTTTGACGGCCCCGAGGCCCGGTAAGGGCCCCCAGATGCTGGGAATAGCGAAAACACTCCCGTCGTGAATTTTTCATTGCTCGAAGAGGTCTGGGGACGCCACAGCCCGAATGAGGGAAGCGTCCATCAACAGCCCGAGGTCCCCGCCGATCTCCTGGAGATCGGCGCTGGGCACCCCTGGCGGCGCCTCTGACGCCGCGCCTGGCGGTCTCCGCGCTCGCGGGGGGGGGGGGGGTGCAGCGCAGAACGGGCCTGTCTTCCACCACCACCGCCACAAGTTGGAGGGGGAGGGGGTCCTCCTCCTCCTCCTCCTCCTCCTCCTCCTCCTCCTCCTCCTCCTTCTCCACCTGCTCCTCCTCCTCCTCCTCCTCCTCCTCCTCCTCCTCCTACACCTCCTTCCCCCCTCCAACTTATGGTGGTGGTGGTGGTGGTGGAAAACAGGCCCCTCAGCGCAGATTCAAGACATCCGCGCGGTCCATTCTGGACCCCGGCGCCGCGGGGTCGGCCCTGCCAGCCCCGGACCAGGCACGGACGATCGCGGGACGCGCGGAGCAGACACCATCGGGGTAATGCCGTCGACCCGCGCAGTAAGGATGGGCCACCTTCCCAAGGGTTCCCCCCTGCATCCTTGCCCCTCCGGCCCATCCTCGGCGACGTTCGCTGGCCAGCCTCGTTGGCAGAACGCCCGCGTGGGCCCCGGAGGCCCCAGCGCCAGCACCCTCACCGCGGCGTCCTTCTGATGCGGGCCGACCGCAGGGCGGGGGCAGGCCGTGCCAGTCGTCCCACAGGCTCCCACGCGAGAGCCCCCCCCCCCCCCCAAAAAGAAAACGCGCGAACCGTGCCCACGAGGGAGCGGCCCCTCGTTCATTATAATTATTATCATTATTATCATCATTATTATTAGTAGTAGTACTATCAGTATTCTTATTATTATTATTATTACTATCAGTATTATTTGTAGTATCATTACTATTATTATTAGTAGTAGTATTATTATTATTACTATTATTATTATCATCATTATCATTATTACTATTATTACTAGTATTACCATCATCATCATCATCATCATCATCATTATTATTATTGTTTTTGTTATTATTATTATTATTATTACTATTATTATTATTATTATTAGTATTATTATTATTATATGTATTATTATTATTATTATTATTATTATTATTATTATTATTATTATTATTCTTATTATTATTTAAGAATAAGGAAAAAAACGAGGGAGCGGCCCTTCGCCGAGCCGGGCTCGCGTCTCGAGGGCACCGCGGCGGCGGGGCCCGGGCCGCGCGCGGCCTCGGGTGGGGTCGTCGCCGGTGCCCCGCGGCCGTCCACGGCAGCGCTTCGGGGCGGGGGGCCAGGCCCCCGGGAGCGGGCCGGGCCTGGCCTGGCCTGACTTCAGATCCGCCCTACTTTGGTTTTTTTTCCAACTTAAAATTGCGTCGGAAATCCACCTTTAAGAAGCCGAAAAAGTAGGGCGGAAATTTCTGCACCCAGCGTAAAGTAGGGCGGAAATCCACAGGAGTAGGGCGGAAACAGCAACAGAAAAGTAGGGCGGAAATTGGCATCAGCGGGGCTTGAAAAGTAAGGCGGAAATTCCAAGCCCTACTTGCGAATTTCCCCAAAGTAGGGCGGATCCGGAGTCAGGGCTACGGGAGGACTTGGCATCGCTCGGACGTGTGCATTTTTCCTTCGGCGAGGACCATCGAGGAGCATCCTGGATCATGTCGCGAAGAACCCACGCACGAAGCCGAAAAAGCCACAGGGAATGGACGTCCGAGCGATAGCCAGAGGAGGAGTCAAGCATGAAAATAAGCCAGACGTGCGGCCTGGCCCTCTACTCGGGAGCGGAAAAAGAGGGGGGTGATGACTAGGGGGGGGAATTTCATGGCGCGGGCCATGATTATTCCTCAGATTTCATGGCGCATCTTCTTATTTCATTGCGTCCCAGGACCCCCCGCTGGGCCGCGCACATGCCGCCGGTCATGATTTGCACCCCCCCCCCCTTGGACACCCCCCTCTTGGCCGCTCCCGATCTACGGGGGAAGAGTCAAGCATGAAAAGAAATCAGTCCTGTGGCGATGTTCTGGTGACCATGCTGCACCATGTCGGAGCACACGTCTGGCCTCTTCTTTTATTTTTCTCGTTCAAGAGGCCCCCTGCAGGAGGGCATGCCCGACCTAAAAAGTGGCCTCGCATGTCTGGGGAGTGACGTTAATTCAAGCTTCGCGCGGCCCGCTTAGCTTCGACCGGAAGAGGTGCGCTCTCGACGCGCGGATCAAAAATTGTCTGGGGAGTGACCCTCCGCTGAGGTGGCCTCCGGTGCGCGGCTTTCCGCAGGGCCGGGTGGGGCAACCACGCTCTATAGCCCCGGGTCGCTCTTGCGCTCGGCCGAGCAGATAGAAGGGGTCCTGCCTGAGAGGTCTCGTCGGGGCAGGCGGAGCAGTCCCATCGGGGTACTCCTGGGTAGGGGGCCACAGGCGAACCCTACCCTTACCCCCCACGATTTCGGAGGGGGAGGGTGGGGTAGGGTTCGCCTGTACCCCCCTACTGGGTTTCTTAGTAAGCGTGGGGGGTACCCCCCCGACGGGTCAACCTCGCCTCGTCGTCGCGCCGCAACGGGTGTTGGAGCGCCTTCGGCGCGCGGTGGCTGCCCGCGATTGAGAAACTCGGAGTAGGGGTAGGAGGCTTCCGCCTTTCTCCTCCCCGTCCTCGTCCTTGTCCAACCGATCGCTGTGGTGTGATTGTGGTCCCTGGGTGGGCGAGGCGGAGCCGCACGCACCAGAGGTCCAAGACAGAACAGAGTACACGCACAGGTCGGCGAACAGCAACACAGCGAGCACCAACCAGCTGACGCTAAAACATGCAAGGCCGAGCGCAAGGCAGGAAGCAGCACGAAGAGCCCCGAAGAGCCGAGCGGCCCAGAGCTGGGGCCTGCGCGGCGTCTCCGAGGCCCGGGGCCCGTGCTCGGCGGCAGCAGCAGTCCGCCGCGCCGGGCCCCTCGTGCGCCCCGAGGGCCCCCGCTGGGTGCGGGCTGGGTGCACCTGGGGAAGGCCTGGCGAGCACTGGGTACACCCAGGACGCTGGAGCACGGAGCACATCGGATTCGGAAGGGGTCTGCTGTTCCCCCCGTTCCTCCTCCTCCTCCTCCTCCTCCTCCTCCTCCTCCTCCTCCTCCTCCTCCTCCTCCTCCTCCCCCTCCTCCTCCTCCTCCTCCTCCTCCTCCTTCACCTGACCCTTCTCCTGGCGCTCCTCGTGCCCCTGGGAGCTCTGTAGGGCCAACACAAAGCGTGCTTCGTTGCTCGCTCGGCGGTCCTGCTGGTGGGAGCTCGGCGCTGCACATGGGGCGTGCCAAACAATTGCCTTGCCGTCGAGGATCGAAGGGAGGAGGAGGTGGAGGAGGGGGAGGACTGAGGAGGAGGAGGAGGAGGAGGAGGAGGAGGAGGAGGAGGAGGAGGAGGAGAGCCCTTCTGGCACAGGTTGCCCTGTGTCACGGGCTTTCCAGGCGCTGCCGCCCCGCCCCACCCCCGCCCTCTTCTGCGATGGTCGTCGCTGCCCGGCTGGATTTCGTCCTTGGCATGGTCGAGACCGGTGCTCAGGTGATGTTCTCCTACCTCCCCAATGCGGACTCCGGCAAGTTGAAGGTAAAGATTCTCATCCGCGAGACCGGGCAGCCCCCATGCGTGTTGTTCACGACCCACGGTGTTGAGCAAGTGCAGTTCTTACGCCAACTCGTTTCTTCATTTTCGGTGGTCGATCGTGGACACAAGCACACAGACGGGACCATGGAACTTTGCATGTGGTTCACCCCGCATAAGTCAGTGCTGCTACGACATGACGCTGCGGAGTTCACACCATCGTGCGAAGGTAGGAGCCCCTTCCGTCGTGGGTTGCCTCTTCATGGCCGTGTGCGGCGTGGCACGCCTCTCCCGAGCAGGGCTCCTTCTCCAAGGTCCAGATCGTGTTCGTCCGCTCCAGAGGCGGAGGATATGCCTTCGGCAGCTGCGGAGGCGGGAGCCTCCTCGACAGCGCACACTTGGGAGAGAAAGATCAAGGCCGACAAATGGGTCGAGCACCAGGAGCTGCTGCTAGCCCGAGCCGTGGCCATGTTTCAGTATGAGTGCGCCCAGATAGCCGAGAAGGAGGGCGTGTCCCAGGCGACGGTCTCCTTTGAGGTGCTGTCCAGGGCGATCGAGAAGTTCCCGAAGAAAGTGCTGAAGGACTCCTGCTATTTCGTCGAGTCCTTTGGCAATGAGGTCCCGGAGGAAAGCTGGATCTATGCAGTTCGCGGGTTGGAGGCCATATGGACCCCTGGAGAGCCGATTCCATACCAGGAGGTATTGCATAGCATGTTCTTGCCATTCGTAGCCAAGATCCAGATGCTAGGGTACAGTAGTTGCAAGCACATCGCAGGCACTTGGAAATTGACAGTAACTTGGTAGCCTGGAGTGCCGAGTGTCAGCCTCAAGTGTGAGGGCCGCCTGATAGCAGCTGTCCAGTCGGCGCGTTGCGTTTGGTTTCGGCGCTGGTCGCTTGCTGGACGTGGCTCGTTTTTCTGGCTCCTGGCCCGCGGCCTGGCCCTTGGGGGCCTCTTGTCCTGGGGTGTCGTGGTGGTCCAGTGCCTGTGCTCCCCCCTTGCGGCCTCCCTTTCTCCCTGTCTTCTTTCTTCCTCCCTTTGCGTCTCCCCTCTTGGGGGGGTGCTTTGGCGCTGGGCCCTTGCTCTTTTGGTTTCGGGGGCTCCGGGGACCCTCGTCGCCACGTCTCTTTCCTGCCTAGTCTCTCATCCGCATCCGCATGGGACCCAGACTATGTCCCTTAGAGCCGAGCGAGCGAGCGAGCGAGCGAGGAGGAGGAGGAGGAGGAGGAGGAGGAGGGGGAGTAGCAGGGGGTGTCATCCCTGTCGCCGCGGAAGGCGGCGGAAGGGCGGCCGCAGGTCGGCGGAAGGAAAACGAGGCCGCCTCCGCCGGCGGTAGCCGACGGAGGGCCGGCGGAAGGTGGCGGAAGTGAAAGATGCGCCCCCCAAGAGATGAAAGCGTCTTTGGGTCCAGCGTTTCCGGAGTCCGCAGCATGTCCCCGCGATCAGCGCCGCAGCACCGTTTCCGGGTCGGTTTCCGGGAGCCTCCTGGGAGGGGGGGGGTGGGGGCGTCAGTGAGGCTCATCACCGGGGTGGTCCATAGTTGATGCTGACGACCCTCGAGCGCGTCGGCGGCAGGCCATGGGCCCCGCAGGCGCTTCTTTGGGGGCAGCGTCCGGGTGGGCTCCCGAGGGCCACTGTCCAGCGGCCGGGGCCCCAGGAGCTTCCGGCGCCGGTCCTGCGCAGGTGAAGCACGTGTTCACCACCCACCAAACCACCCCAACCCAACCCGAAGGCCTCAATTTGCCTCCCATTTCCAGTGGGGGGGGGCGGGGAATGTTGAAAAAACACATATGGAACCCGTACCCCCCCCAACCCGAAATTCAGGTCTTCGGGTTGGGTTGGGGTGGTCTGGTAGGTAGTCAGTACAGTCGGGCCGATGAAGAAGGAACCGTTTTAGTTTGGGAGGGGCTCCGTGTTCCTCAGTTGTTTTGCAGCGCTCCTTTGGTTCTCCCCAGGTTTTCCATGGAAGGTCGGAGTTTCACTTCTGGGAAAAAGGGGCCTCGTTCCTCATTTATCGTTCCTTAGGTCAACGCCCCGACTGTATTTCGGCAAGTCGTGCCACCGCATCAGCGCAGGAGTAGTTGCAGCGACCTTTTGGAGCAGACGCAAGCCTCGTCCCTGGGCTCCGGAGGGGCGCAACAAGCGGCACGGCCTTCCGCAGGCTCGACTATACTGTACCATGTGATGCGGTTTTGCTCAGTCCCCAGGTGCCCGTAACATGTGTCACCCCACTTCCCGAGACCCAGGTGGCCCGCCATGTGTATTAGTCCGCTTCAGGTTGCACAGTGCTTGCCAGCGTGGACCTCAAACACTGAGTTACTGAATTGCGTGTGTCAGCCATGCGATGCGACACATGTGGTGTAAGCTGTGTGGTGGCAACTTTGTGGTGCAAGCTGCCTGGTGCAAGCTAGGTCGTGCAATCCGTGTGGTGCGAACGATGTGGTTCAAGCTGTGCAGCCGCCAGCGGGGCGCCCACGAGGCGCCAGCGGCCTGCCACCAGGCGCAATCTGAGCAGACCCACCCAGGGAGGCTGCGAGTGGCGAAGCTGTCGCCACTTTCGAGGGCTGGTGGGGAGTCCAGCGGAGCGACGTTCTACCCAATCCAAGCTAGACCTCGCCAGCCTTGGAGGGCTGCGATCTGCGAAGCTGTCGCCACTTCTGGGGGCTGCTGGGGGGTCCAGCGGTGTGGCGTCCTACACAGATTCAAGGTAGACCCCGCCATCCCTGGGGTGCTTCGATCTGCGAAACCGTCGCCACTTTCGAGGTCAGCTGGGGAGTCCAGCGGGGTGGCGTCCTACCCATATTCAGATAGGGCTACGATCTGAGAAATTATCGCCACTTTCGAGGGCTGCTGGGGAGTCCACCGAAGTGGCGTTTTGCCCAGACCCAGAATTGACCTCGCCATCTTTGGGTGGCTGCGATCTGAAGAACTGCCGCCACTTTCTAGGGTTGCCGGGGATTCCAGCGGAGCGATGTTTTACTCATACTTAAATTAGACCTTGCCATTCCTGGGGGCTGCGGTCTGCGAAGCTATCGCCACTTTCGAGGGCTGCTGGCGAGTCCAGCGGAGCGACGTTTTGCCCAGCGGAGTGACGTCTTGCCCAGATTCAAACTCGACCTCGCTATCCCTGGGGGGGTGCGATCTGCGAGACTGTTGCCAGTTTCGGGGGCTGCTGGGGAGTCCAGCGGGGTGGCGTCTTACCCAGATTCAAAATGGACCTCGCCATCCCTGGGGGGATGTGGTCTGCGAAACTGTCGCCGCTCTCGAGGTTTGCTGGGGGGCCCACTAGAGTGGCGTTTTGTCCAGACTCAGATTTGACCTCGCCATCTTTGGGGGGTTGCGGTCGAATAAACTGTCGCCGCTGTCGAGGGCTGCTGGGGGGGCAGCATACTGCGGTGCTACGCAGATCAGAGCGGGACCCCGCCATCCTTGGGGGGCTGCGATCTGCGAAACTGTCGCCATTTTCGAGGTCTGCTGGGGGGGCAGCGCAATGCGGTGAGACGCAGTTCAGAGCGCGACCTCGCCATCCATGCTGGGCTGCGATCTGCGAAACTGTCGCCACTTTCTTGGGCTGCTCGGGGGGCAGTTTTGTGCGTTGCTATGCAGATCAGAGCGGGACCTCGCCATCTTTGGGGTTGCGAATTGCGATATTGTCGCCTTTTTCTTGGGCTGCTGGGGGTTTCAGCTGAGCGCGGTGCTACGTGGATCAGAGCGGGACCTCGCCACCTCTGGGGGTCTGCGATCTGCGAATCTGTCGCCGCTCTCGAGGGATGCTGGGGGAGGGGGCCCAGCTCAGTGTCCTGCGATTCGTGCAGTTCGCGAGCCCCCCACATGCCCGTCGCAGAATCATGCCCCCCCTAGCCGTGCTATCACAATATCTAATGTATACCCAGTTATCACTTCCATGCGTTGCGTCAGGGTTGGGTGCGTCGTCCGGTTCATCAGCTGAAGCAGGACCGCTTAGTATTTGGACGGGACACCGAGACTAGATTGTCTTGGTAATGACGGATGCACGCAAAGCGTATCCACGTGTTGAACGACGGGCAATTGGGGCTGTTCTCGCCAGAAGCAGGATCCCAGCTATATGCGCACGAGTGATGCGAGGATGGCATGAAATGGCATCTTACATTGTAAGAGCACAGAGCTGCATCAGTGAACCTTCGAGTACTTCGGGGGCTCCGCGACGGATGTCCGAGCGGCCAGGGTGAGGTCAGCTTGTGCCACGCTCACGCGATGCGCGAGTTTGTTCATCCAGCTCGTGCTCGTTGTCCTGAACCATGGGCGGAGGTGGCCAGTGAGGAAGGGGGTGGGGGATTTCGCGAGGGAGGAGGTCGGCCGTGCGCGAAGTAGGCTGGCCTCGTGGACATGAATCGAATACTCGAGCTCATACTCGCTAGTGACGCGAACGTGATCACCACGGCCGGCGAGCGAGCCGAGATCGAAGAAATATGAGCGACCGCGCGCGGGGAGGGTGAAGAGGGGGGGGGGCGAGCATTCGCGAGCGCTTCGGTATCTCGGAGCTCGGGCCCAACAGCGCGGCAGACGCGACAGAGATACCCAATGACGACATGCCCGCGCAGGGGTGGCGTGGAGGAATGAATGTCAGCAGTTGTCTAGATGGGGACTGGAGCCGAAGACGCTGGGCAGGGTGGCCCAAGCGACTGCGCTGGCAGCTCTGTTGCGTTGATGTGAGGCTCGTAGTTTCCAAGCAGCACGGCTCAATAATTACGAGGTGCTCTGGAAAAGAGTGGACAGGGGCATTCGCAGCCAGGAAATACGCGACATGCGCGACGAAAAGACCACGATGCAGGATTTGAAGGACAAATCCGGGCTCGACGCGATTAGGGTGCACATTGGCCAGAGGCAGCTCCAATTTCTAGGACATGTGCTGAGGCTTCATGAACATAGAGTCGAGGGGGGGGGGGGGTATTTCTTGGCCGGTTAATTGGCTGAAGGGTAAAACGATTCGACCGACAATTCGCAGCCAGTATTCGAAATGGGCGGCAGAGGCTCCAAAGCGCGCGGGGTAGGGGCGGGCTGCGCGGCACTCGCGCGAGAAAGCGTGGGCCGATCAGGCAAATCACCAGATGCGTCGGCGCAAGATACTTGTGAACGGGTGGTGGCCGAGCGTGCAAAGGACCACCAGATGGCATGGAAAATCAAACGCGCCCCGGAGGGGCATTGTGGACTCTACGCCAGCTCGGCAGCAGGTCCGCCTCGCCGCGTTGCCAGGAGTGGCGTTGAACGAGCAGGGCAAGGCGCGGTGCCCGTCTTGCCTGGCTGGCAGCACCTCCGCCCCCGGCACCCCCGCCAGCTTCGAGCGCGCAGTCTCCCGCGCCGAGGTCGAGACTCAGGACAGCGGCGCGGGGTCGCGGCCGGGCGCCGAAGACATTCGGGGGGAGAAGCTGAGGGGGCGGGCGGACAGGGGGCAGTGGGGCCGCGGCAGGGGGCGCAGGCAGCCGGCGCTGCGCGGCGGGCGCGCATCCAAGATGAAGTTGGAGAGTCTCGTCAGCCGGTCCTCCCCTTGAGCGGCGTTGTCGGTAAACAGCTTCGTCCTGCGGCGGCCCCCCTGGCCCCCGCGGCCCCGGCCCCGGCCCGTCGGCTTCGTCGCAGACAGCCTCGGCTTCGGGCTTTCGTCGGGGGAGATCTCGAGCGAGATCATTTTTCTCGGGCGCCTACTGCGAGCCTGGGAAAGTTTCGAGGCAAGAGAGAGCGCGCGGGCGTCAAAAAGATCACCCCCATGGAGATCAGGCGCGCTTGACTTAAAACGCAGACGGGATGAGGTGGGGATCCAGGGCGCGGGGGCCACGTCGGAGCCGCAGTGCAAGATTGAGGGGGAAGGCGATGATGGAAGAGGGCAAGGAGGCCAAAGGTTCGAAAAGAAAGGAAAGGGCGAGGCAGTGCAAGTCGTTCTCTCCACCGGGTGGATAGGGCACACCGGAGGGAACGACGATAATTGCCCAATCCCGCACCGACCACCCGATCCCGCAGGCCAGTTTCCAGCGCCAGTGTCGCGAGAAAAACTGCAGGGTCTGCAGCGCATGCCATCGACGCCGTGAGCGCGGATGTTGTTTTGGAGGTAGATCTATGGGATGGGGATGTGTGGTCTGTGCGAAATGCACGCACTGCCGCAGCGCGTTGCGCGGTGATGGTGGCAAAGATGCAGTGGCGGTGCTGGCGCGCAGTGGATGCATCCCGCTCGCCATCCA